GATCAGGGTGACCCCAATAAAGATGATGGGGGTAATGATAATTGCACCGTCACTCTGCACTTAGCGCCGGCATGCACAAGCCTTGCAACTCCTCATAACAGCCCCCATTCTACAGATGAGGAAATGGAGGCTCAGGGAGATGAAGTCTCTTGTTCAAGGCAACCCAGCCTTTTTCCTTTCTTTCTTTTTGTTTAAATTTTACTTTAAAAACTGCTCCTTGTAGAGCAGGGTTAACTCATAGGCAGTGTCTTTTTTTTTTTTTTTTTTTTTTTTTGAGACAGGGTCTTGCTCTGTCACCCAAACTGGAGTGCGGCGATATGATCATAGCTCACTGCAGCCTCAAACTCCCAAGCTCAAGCAATCCTCCCAACTCAGCCTCCTGAATAGCTGAGACCAGAGGTGCGTGCCACCACTCCCAGCCTCACTCAGATCACTTGGTCCATGCTATTTATTACTGCCCTGTATTTTCCTTCCCAAGCCGGCTGCTCACCAAGCCCCAGCTGTCCTGCCTCCTGAATGTCTCCTGAATCCTTCCCCTCCGCTCTGTCCCATGTCCTCAACCCTGTTCTGGTCTCCTCCTCACCCCACCCTGCAGGGTCCCCACCCCACTTCCCTCCCTGGTCTCCTGCTCAGTCTCACTCCTGTCCCTTCCAGTCACCCTCAGTCTGGAGCCAGAGGGGCCTTTCCTAAATCACAAACCTGCCCCTGCCCCTCTCGTATTCAAAACCTGCAATAGCTTCCCAGTGCCCTGAAGAAAAGATCTAAACTCCTTAGCCTGGGAACATCCTTATAATACCTGCAGAAACTGGTCTGCACTAACCCCTCTCTCCACACCTGTGGCTCCAGTCCCCATGAATCTCTAAGCTTTCTCTTTTTGTTTGTTTTTGTTTTTGTTTTTTGAGGCAGAGTCTTGCTCTGTTGCCCAGGCTGGAGTGCAGTGGTGCAATCTCAGCTCACTGCAACGTCCACCTTCCAGGTTCAAGCAATTCTCCTGCCTCAGCCTCCTGAGTAACTGGGATCACAGGTGCCCACCACCATGCCTGGCTAATTTTTTGCGTTTTTTTTCTCAGTAGAGACAGGGTTTCGCTGTTAGCCAGTTCTACGTTAGCGAGGCTGGTCTTGAACTCCGGGCTTCAGGTGATCCACGCTCCTCAGCCTCCCAAAGTGAAGGGATTACAGGTGTGAGCTATCACACCCGACCCTCTAAGCATTCTCAGTGTATCAAGCCTTCTCCCCACCAACAGATCTTTGGCTGTGCTATTTTCTTGGCCTCGGTCTTTTTCTAGTTCTTTCTATACACTATCCTCATCTAGGACTCAGTTCAGCTGTCCCCTCCTCCAGGAAGTTTTTCCCGACTCCCAGTCCAAGCTAGGTGTCCCTGCTCTGCTTCCCTAGCCCCATGGGCTCCCCCAACCCCATCCACTTGAGGTTGTCCCTGACTGGGGACGGGTGTATGTTCCCTAATGGACTGTGAGCTCCAGAAGGGCAGGACCTGAGGCTCAGTCTGTAGTGCCCCCAACTCCCAGCACAGTTGGGTAGGTGCTTAGCACATTTTTTCCGAATGAATTAATAAATGGATTCCACCATGACAACTTCCCTTGCTTTTTCATGTACCAAAGCGTCGGAGCGACCGCTGGACCCTCACCTCAGTTCCCAGAGGACTGGCTGTTATCCAAATAAGAGAGGGCTTGGATTTTGCAATGGGGATGGCTCCACTCTATCTGTAAACAAAAAAAAATGGTCATATATTTGCTTCGGTCAGTCTTGGGTTGGCCCCAGTCATGGTCATATGGAAAACAAAAGGAAACACATCTTCAGTGTAAAATAATCGTTCTTTTGTAGTTGTAGTTTGTAGAAAATCCAAGATGACTCCTCATTCCTAGCCTGAGTGGTCTTTAGCAGTTTGCTGTGCAAGTCTCTGAAGATCTTTTTTTTTTTTTTTTCCCTCAACGTAGTGAGATGGGTCGGGGTCGGGAGGGGGTCTCACTATGTTGCCCCATGCTGGTCTCGAACTCCTGGCCTCCTACCTTGAAGCGACGGGGCCTTTTGTTTTTTTGGTTTTTTTGTTTTTTTTGTGTGAGTCTTTCTCTCTTCCCTATTCTTGGGAGCAGGGCCCGTTTTGCAGCTTTTTTTTTTTTTTTTTGAGACAGAGTCTCGCTCTGTCGCCCAGGCTGGGGTGCAGTGGCCGGATCTCAGCTCACTGCAACCTCTGCCTCCTGGATTTACACCATTCTCCTGCCTCAGCCTCTCGAGTAGCTGGGACTACAGGTGCCCACCACCTCGCCCGGCTAGTTTTTTGTATTTTTTAGTAGAGACGGGGTTTCACCGTGTTAGCCGGGATGGTCTCGATCTCCTGACCTCGTGATCCGCCCGTCTTGGCCTCCCAAAGTTCTGGGATTACAGGCTTGAGCCACTGCACCCAGTCCTTAGCGACTGTCTTTAACCCATAGCGCATACAAGCTCCATCACTAAGAGACCTGTGTGATCCCATACCTGCAGGCTCAACTTCTGACCCATTACCTTTTTTTTTTTTCTTTTGACAGAGTTTTACTCTGCCACCCAGGCTGGAGTGCAGTGGTGCGATCTTGGCTCACTGCAACCTCCATCTCCTAGGTTAAAGTGATTCTCCTGCCTCAACCTCCCAAGTAGCTGGGATTACAGGTGTGCGCCACCACACCTGGCTAATTTTTGTATTTTTTGTAGAGACAGGATTTCACCATCTTGGCCAGGCTGGTCTCAGACTCCTGACCTCAAGTGAGTCGCCCATCTTGGCCTCCCAAGATGCTGGGATTACAGGCGTGAGCCACTGCGACAGGCTGTGGCCCCTTACTTTTTCTAGTAGGAGGCACTGCCTGTGCGTGCAGGAAGTTCTCGTGACTGTCTTCCTTTTATCCTGCTGTAGACCCATTGACCAGAAGGAGTTCCTGCAAGGATGTGTGTGTCTGTGTGTGTGTGTGTGTGTATGATCTCTCTGTGTGTGTAGTCCTTCGACAATCTAACTTCACCCTCTCTTACTAAAAGGAAGCCAGCCAATGGGTGTCAGGAGGAAATAAACACTGCAACCTGGCGAATGTGTTTTTAAGAGCTTTTTATTGGCAACAGTGCAGAACCAGGGGAGAGGGGACGGCCCATCGCCAATCTGCCCCAGCCCCCCGGGGTCAGGTGCAAAATACAAAAAGAGAACCACAAATACAGCATAGGGTCGGGGGGTCAGGGATTCATTGAATTGTGGTTGGCAGGGGGAAGCCCTGCTCACACTCTCACACTTGCACTCAGAATTGTCAAAGATACAGATTGTAAAAATCTACCATCCCTCAGGGTTATTCACAAAAAATAAAATCTCATGTCCCCAACGAACCCAGAGTCAGATGACAGCTGGAGCATCGGCAGGGACAGTCAGAAAGGAGATAAGTGAAAACGGTCAGATGGACACAGGCGGGGGAGAAAAGACAGAGGGAGAGAGACCATCAGGAACAATCAGAGGGGCCGAGACGATCAGAAAAGGGTCAGCCTGAGACAGGCTGAGCCAGAGTTTCTAGAAGCAGTTTCCAATTCAACGGCTCGCTTTGAGGGCCAATGTGACCTAGGCTGAGGTTGCAGAAGCGCTCACACACTCACGCGCACGCACACACACACATCCATATATAATATATTTATTTATACATAATAGATATAACTGCCTTTCAGAAACCAGGAAAGGGATAAATAGCTACGGAATGGGTCTGGGATCAGGACGGGAGACGCGCGACAAGCGGCACGTGGAATGTTTTTCATGCAGCACGGATGGAGGGCGGCGTGGTCCACCCCCCGATATTAAAAAATATAAATTTGCTTCGTAAAGAAATCCTCATGAGATGAAGCGCAGGGAATGGCAGGGTGGGAGAGCCAAAACCAGCGTCGGGGCTGGGGGGACTTGGGCATGGAATCATGAGATTCCAGCCCCTTGAGTCTGGCGGTCCAAAAATATTGGGGGTTTGGGGGTACCAAAGCCTCAGCTCTGAAATCTTCTCCGGAAAAATGTCACACCCCCTCACTCCCTTCCTAGAGAGGATGTGGGGGGCCAAGGTGTGGGAGAAGTTGGCGTCCTAGGCTGGGGATGGGTCGGGGAGGCCTTAAAGAAAAAGGCCAGGGCTGAGGGTCCTGAGGAGAGAGAGAGAGGCCACGTGGATGGAGGACTGTCACCCCCTTCTCGGCTCTGTCACCCCCTTGAATCTAACTCACTGTTGAGGGGAGGAAGAAGGGGGATGGACGGAAGGGGGAACGAGGAAAGGCTTTCGGGAGTGGGGGCATTATCCCTCTAGAGGGGTGCTGCCCCACCCAGCTGCACCCCACAATCTGGCCAACTCATTTCACAGTATAAATCACTCCAGCAGGACGGCATCACAGCACCCCCTGCTGCCTGAAAGCAGAGCGGCCCAACGAGGAAGGCCAGGAGGGCCGGCTGGCAGGGGGCAGGGTCTTGGGATAACACTGTCATTAAAAACAGGGCTGGGGGCTGATTTCGGGATGGAGAGCCTTAGGAGGCCAGAAATGCCAATCAGAGCCAGTTTTTCTGGGAGGGAGTGGCTAGACAGTGAAGGAGGGATGTTCACATTTCAAAAGAAGTCTGGTCGGGGGATGAGATTATTCTAGGGGGGCATCGAATTCCCTTTAAGGGGGGGCTCACTTCTGCCCATAGTAAAGAGGATCTAACCCCATGGAAATGTGGGATCAATAAGCTAAGGTCAGGAGTGCAGGGGAAACCAACCTAGGCACCCCCCAAAAAAAGGGTGGGTGTGGGAGACATTGGGTGGGGGGTGGCATTTTTCCTTGTTGAGCCTCTCTGGAGAGGACTCCAGCCCACCCCACAGTCTACCTCCCACCCCTGTCCCTTCATCCTCACACAGGACTGCCCGAAGGTAGGCGTCACCCCCCCCCCCCCCCCCCCCCCCCCCCCCCCCCCCCCGGGGGCGGCCCGGGGGGCCCCCGCCCACCGGGGGGGGGCCGCCCCCCCCCCCCCCCCCCCCCCCCCCACCCATCCCCAGAGCTTGGGTTGACGTCAGGGAGCCAACAGACAGCTGGGGGTGTCCATCCCCTTCCCACCCCCTGTCCCCAAAGTCACCAGCTCTCTGGCCTCGCCGGGGCACAGAAACAAGAGGCAGGACAAAACACAAGGAATCCTCCTGTCCGATGGCAGTGGCGCAGTGGCCGCAGAGGGTCAGACGGAGGAGCCAGGGAGGCCACACGCCCACTTTGTCTCTTCCCCTCTCTCTCCTCCTCCTCCTCTTCCAAGTCTCTCTCCCTCGTGTGTTTGTTTGTTTTGTGTGTCTAAAGAGTTCACAGAGCAAGGAGGGAGGGCGAGTTCAGGGGATCGGAAGGCTGGTCACTGCCGCTGGTGCGTTGGGCGCCGGCGAACGCGGAGACCTCCGGGCAGGTGAGGACAAACGAAGAAGTGTACGAAGGGTTAACAACGGGGAAGGGGTCGCCGAGGACTTGAACTTCACTGTGTGTAAAGAGAGAAGCCGTCAGGTTGGGGGGTGCGTCTTGGCTGGTCTGGAAGGGCAGGGGCGGTGGTGGCGGGGGCGGCAGCAGCCAGCTGAAGCCATCTTCCTTAGCCGGTGCTGAGCCCGGCAAATCTCTCACCTCCGCCAGCGGGCCCGGCCCAGGCCCCTCTTCGTAGGGGATCTTGCAGCCCGGTTTGTGGGCCACCAGCACAAACTCCAGACGTTCCTTCTCCTTTTGGAGCTCGGCGATCTCCGACTCCAGCTCTGCTTTTTCTTCCTCCAACTGATCTGTCTCCTGAGGTCGGGGAGGCCAGGTCACAGAAGAGAGGGAGGAAGGAGAAAAAAGCTTGTCAGTGACCGGGAAACTCGGGTCATGGCTCCCCTGGACTTGCTGCTGGAAGGCAGCCCCAGGCTGAGAAAAAAAACAACCCCTGAGATGGAGTCCTGGTGGCCATGGGAGTTGGGGCAAGGGTCTTGCCTTCTAGGAGCCTCAGTTTTCCCCATCTGTCCAAAGGATGGTAGGGAAGGGGCCAGGTTTATGGGGAAGTCTCTGGTACACAGGAGGCACTCAGAGGTTTGTTGAATGAATGAATAATCGTTATATGGTTGGTTTCGTTTTGTTTTTGAGACAGTCTCGCTCTGTCCCCCAGGCTGGAGGGCAGTGGTGCAATCATGGCTTACTGCAGCCTGGACCTCTTGGGCTCAAGCAATCCTCCTACCACAGCCTCCAGAGTAGCTGGGACCACAGTGGTGTGCACCACCATGCCCAGCTACTTTTTTTTTTTTTTTTTTTTGTAGAGACAAGGCCTCCCTGTGTTGCCCAGGCTGGTATCAAACTCCTGGGCTAAAGCAATCCTCTTGCCTTGACCTCTCTCAAAGTCCTGGGATCACAGGCCACTGTTATCCTTCTATTACCCCTCACTCTCTACCTCCCATGGAAGAGATCAAGCAGAGAAGGAAAGTTGACAATTCCCTTGTTCCCTCAAGAAGTAACAGCTCACCCTGCAGGCATACAGTAGGGAACTCTCAGGCCAAGGGAGGACGTAGGAAGGGAGTGGGTTTTGGGGGATGCCACCAGCACCAGGAGAGCTGTGGGTGGCTAGGGCAGGAGGTGGAATAATTTCATTTCATAGACTTTCCAGAGCGTTAAGGGTAGAAGGAGCCTGGGAGATTTGATGAGGGTTTGGAGAGATGGAGAAACTGAGGCAAAATGTGTTGTTACTTGCTGAAGACCAGATGGGAGAAATGATGGGAGCGCCCCTCTCCTCAAGGGCCCCATGTGGCCCTTCGGAATGAAATGAAGGCTAGGAGAGTAGTGTATGGGGTCAGGAAATGGGGGGGACCAGGAGTTGATTTAAGTACATGGGGGTCTGCGTTTGTGCCCTGGGCTACCCCATCTGGCCACACCAGTAACCTAGTTCCATATGCGGAATGTCTAGTTCTCAACCCAGGACAAGGGTACAGGTGGAGAGGGGGCAGAGAATGGGGAGAGAGCTCCCCTCAGCATCCCCTCTCCCACCCCAGGGCCTGTCCTCACCGCCTGGAGTCGGTCGGTCAGCTCCCTCCGCCGGTTCCTGCATTTAGCTGCTGCTAGTTTATTTCGTTCCCGGCGCACCCTTCGCTTCTCCTCTTCCTCCGGGGTGAGCTGAGTTGGGGAGATAGAGGCCATGAGATTTGGGGATACAGCACTCCTCCATCCATCCCAAACCTCTACTTCTTTCAGAACCCCCAGGAGCCAAAAAACAAGCCTCCAGTCCTCGCTCGTGTAGCAAGGATCTTGGGGTTTCTGTAACACGAAGGCCTTAGTGGAGTCCCCCTCCATTCATAAGAAACTTCCTGCCTCTCTTGCTTCCCTCGACCCAGGCCAAGTTCTGATGCCCCTTACTCACCGTCTCTTCTCGGGGTCTCCTAGGCCGGGCTCGGGCTGGGCGGGCAGGCCCAGGCCCACTGGTGGTTCCGCTGGTGGAAGGCCCACCACTGCCACTCGCTCCGCCACTGCTGTAGCCACTCATGCCTGGCGTGGAGTAGCTGGTTCCCGGCATGTCGTAGGGATCGACGACCGGGGGCTGGGAGGCCAGTGGCTGCCCCTGGGACTGGGCCATGGAAGAGATGAGGGTGGGTTGCACAAGCCACTGGAGGTCCTGGCTGGTTGTGATCGCGGTGACCGTGGGCACGAAGGAACCGGGCATTTCCCCGAGACCGGCGCACTCCTACGGGGTGACACATACACACACAGGCGTAGACACACAAACAAAGACACCAACACACACACACCCAACACACATAACACACACCGACCCCGTGAGTGAGCACAGGGTGAGCAAGTGTGGATGTGTGTGTCACAGGGAAAAAGCCACGACACCCACCCTTCCACTACACCGTGACGCAGTGGTTAATGAGAGGATTTCTGCTCAACTGGCTTCTACCTCCTCCTTCTTCCTCGGGGAAAGGTTGCATGGTTCCAGCGGGTGGTGAATCACACCCCGGGTTGGTGACTCTTAGGTGTGGGGGGTGGAGAGGAGGCTGGACACAGCCGGCTGACAGAACCCCCGGGACGGAGCCACAGCCACACACACAGCCACAACACCCCACCCCCACCCCAGAGGCAAGGGGAGGGAGAAGGAGAGGCCTTAGGCCAAGCCTTCCTCTACACTCACACACACACACACACCCCTCTGCGCGAGGTCCCATGCAGGGGCGGGGGTCCCAGTCAAAAGGGTGTTTGGGGGACGGGCCTAGGAGTTTAGAACAACGTTTCAAGTTACTGTCTCTTTTCAGAGTGAGACTGACGAGTGACAGTTTAGGGTGAACGGACAGGTAGAGAAAAGTAACCACCGAGGCTCCCTTAGATTGTCGCGGAGGGTGAATGGTGCGGAACCCGAGCCCCCAAGCTTCAGCAGCGCTCATCTCCCCCCTCCCGTAAATGGACTCCTGGAACTGCTCTGAAGGCTTAACTACTCTCTCGGGGGGCGTGGTGAGGGAAGGGCTGGCTCGCCGGCCAATCAGCGTCCTGGGAACCCAGAGGGGGCGGAGCTCCTGGAGACCACCTGGCTGGTTGCCCTTCGGTTCGCGGTTCTAGTCCTGTCTTGGGACACACTGGAGGAACCGGGCATCCGGAGCAGAGGGAGTGGGAATCTGTCTGTGAGTGCCTGGAGAAGAGGGTGACAGCCACCGTATCTCTCCAAGAAACGCCGGCACACAAGCAGACACCCCCTGCTCCTGAGAACCCAGGGACCAGATCCCTGCAAGGGTCTCGCAGATCCATTGAGTCGCAGAGAGCCGCTCTTGTCACGACAGGGATCCCCTCGCTCTGCCTCTAGAGGCGCGGAAAAGAGACCCAGCCGCCAAGGAACCACGGGTTCCGGGGACAGAGAGGGGGAAGGAAACTGCACCCTACAAATAGGAAGGGAAAGCTGATTGGCCAAGGCGTGCGCCCTGGCGGCCAATCGAAACGCCGGGCTGCCCCCTCCCTTAGCAACGTGGCCCCGGCGTTCCAAAATAGAACGCTCCCGGGACGTCAGGGGCGGGGCGGACGAAGGGGGCGCCGCGCGCCGTGCGTGCCCCGCGTCAGACGGAGGATTCCAGCGCGTCAGCCGTTACGCACGGGTCCCCCGTTACGTCTCCGCGCAGGAGGCGGAGGCAGCGCGGCTGAGGGTTCGAGCCCCTCTTCCCGATGGGTGGAGGGCTACCTGGCACCGAAGTAGGCGCTCCGAAGAAGGAGGAAAGGAAAAGAGACTACTGGAAGCTTCCCTGGGATTTCCCCCACCTTCCTAACTGCGCTAGCTTCAGGTCTGGAACCCGAGCGGGAGTCAGTCCCGGAGCCGGCTCAAAGTTCTCAGCCCCGCTACCGCATACACGTTGCACTGAGCGGCACATTCCCCACCCCACCCCCACACGCCCCAAAGCCTACCCTCCCTGCCGCGTTCCCTCCTTGCGCTCCACGCACGCAACCAATTGCAAACATCTCCCGACTCTTTGCAGTTTGCAAAGTGCGCTGTGAGCCTTTTCCATCTCAGATCTAGGGTTCTGATGCGTCTTTATGTGGGGGTTGGGGGTTATTCTTTTCACCCTTGACTTAAAAAATAAAACCTACAAAGCAGCACCCCTAATATCGAAAACTTACCTGGGAGGCGGTGGCGGTGGGTGGACTGCCGAAGGAGTCCACCGAAGACAGATATTGAGACTCGGCAGAGGGTGAGGAACTGCACCGGGAGCCGGAGTCGTAGTCTCCGGGGAAAGCTTGAAACATTTCCCTGGGCACAGGGGGGGCCCTGTGACCACGCTGAGGTCGCCGGGAAGCCAAGGCTATGGCCGGGTTGGGGAAGTAAGGTGCGAGTCCGGGGTGAGCCGTGGGAGTCCCGGGTGAGCTGAGCGAGTCCTCAAAGTACGCTGTCCGGGGAAGCTCGGGGAAGGAGCAACGTCCCGTTCCAACAATGGCAAAGTTTCTGTGCAGTCTCCCTGCGGTGCCCAGGCCCCCACAGGATGCCGCTGTACCTCCTGAAAGTGCAGGCTCCGTAGGACCCAGGGGCGAGGGAGGGGTTGCTCCCCCAGGGGCAGAAAGCGCTGTCCCGCTGTACAGAATCAGCTTCAGCTACGGTCTCCTCCACGCGTCCGGCGGGTCCCACGGGGGGAGGGGAGTAATAAAGAAGACGAAAAAAGTAAATCGGTCCTCCAAAAGAAAATGAAGAAATATCTAGAAGAATCTTTCCAAAAACTTTCTCCCCGGAAAAAAAAAGATTAACGAAATTTCATAACCCCCAAGAAGAACCACAATAATCAAGTTTCCAAGTCCTGGTTCCGCGTGTCCCTGCAGTGGCCGTAGCTCTGAGTCTTATGAATGAAGTACAGACCCGCCAGCCTGTATTTATATGCCCGGGACCCGCCCCCCTGCTTACGTCACCCGCCCCTCGCTGAACAAACTTCCCCAAATCTCCGGACCCGCCAAATCGAGTCCCGCACCGTCCAGCAAGAGGTCTGTTCTAGACTCGATCTGGTCACTTGCATGACCCTCGGGGCCCTGGGGGTCTCGGGGGCTGCGTTCCGGGCCCCTCGGCGGGAGGGGATCCCGGCCCCGCCTCCCCGGAGTTCCTGTGACGCAATTAGCCATATAAGGAGCTCGGCCGGCGCGGCGGAGTGTTTGTTTGGTATCCTAGCAATGACGTCAGAGGGAATCCCTCGCTCGCTCGCGCGCGCGCCCGCGCCCCGCCCGCGCCTGCGCAGTGCCACGCCGCCCCGGGGGCTGGTATTAATAGGCGCTTACACTAGCCCCGCAGGGCCCCCGCTGTCCCGGGCAGGGAAGACCCCAGCCTGCAGGTACCCCTCACCTCTGGCGCCCCCACCCACCCTGTTCTACCGCTGGTGCAGCGCCCCCGTTCGAGAAGAAGAGCAGATCTCCGAAAGGAGACCCTGATTGGTGTGGTGTGGTCACGTAGGTGGGGAAACTGAGTCCCGAGCGCGCTGTGATGCTCAGGTGAAGATGGAGGTAATGGAGGGATTCCGAGGCTCGTCCTGGTTTCTGTCCTGATTCGCTGTGCGAGCTTGGGAAATGTTTTCCCTCTCTGAGCTTTAGCTTTAGGCTTCCCGGCTGGGCAAAGGATGTGTGTCTTGGACCCGGCTGGCCTCCCAGGTCCGGCGTTTGGGAGGGATAAGGGTTTGGAGGGGATGGGAAATGAAACTTAGGGAGAAGCGACTCTTCTGATGGTGTTGGTAGCCTGTCCTCCCACCTTTTAATCCGCCCGGAGGCAAAGAATGTGTAAGGGGGAGGGGATATTATTAATTTTAATAATAATAATTAATGCCTTGTATTTGGCAATTACCAAGCACAGCTTCTGTGCTATGCCTTTCAGTACAAGATTTGTAATCCTTAAAACAGCTCTGGAAGGTTAAGAGAGAAAAATCTTCATTTTATAAAAGATAAAAATGATACTCAGAGAGGTTAAATGACTTGCCCAAGATCCCATCACAAGACATTCAAACTTAGAATTGGCAAACTCCAGATTTCCTACCCTTTCCATTCTTTCCATTTCTTTTCTGATTTCTGAGACCCGCCTGGTTGGATGAAACTCCCTGAAAAACCTGTGTCTGGGGTTTGTTTAAATGATAATGGCAGTATTAGTAGCTTCCACTTGTCAGGTTTTTTTTTTTTTTTGAGACGGAGTCTTGCTCTGCTGGAGTGCAGTGGCCATCTCGGCTCACTGCAACCTCCGCCTCACCTTAGCTTCTCGAGTAGCTGGGACTACAGGCGCGGGTACAGGCGCGGGCCACCATGCCAAGCTAAGTTTTATATGTTTAATAGAGACGGGGTTTCACCATATTGGTCAAGATGGTCTTGAACTCCTGACCTTGTGATCCGCCCGCCTCGGCCTCCCAAAGTGTTGGGATTACAGGCGTGAGCCACTGCGGACAGGCTGTCAGGTCTTTCTAAGCTTTACAAACTCCCTCTTACTGCTGTTAGGGTGTACTGTTGCAATCCAGGCTCAGAGGGGTAGAGCTGACTACCTGAGAAAATCTACTTAGCAAATGGGGTTCAAGAGTCTGACGTGTGTTTTTTGTTTTTTTTTTGTTTTTTGTTTTTTTGTTTTTTTTTTTTAAGACAGAGTCTCACTCTGTTGCCCAGGCTGGAGTGCAGTGGCACAATCTCGACTCACTGCAGCCTCCACCTCCCGGGTTCAAGTGATTTTCCTGCCTCAGCCTCCTGAGTAGCTGGGATTACAGGTATGTGCCACCACACCTGGCTAATTTTTGTTTTGTTTTGTTTTGTTTTTTGAGACGGAGTTTTGCTCTCGTTGCCCAGGCTAGAGTGCAATGGCACGATTTCGGATCATCCCGGGTTGAAGCTATTCTCCTGCCTCAGCCTCCCAAGTAGCTGGGATTACAAGCATGTGCCACCATGCCCAACTAGTTTTTGTATTTTTAGTAGAAACGGGGTTTCTCCATGTTGGTCAGGCTGCTCTCACTCCCAACCTCAGGTGATCCGCCCACCTTGGCCTCCCGAAGTGCTGGGATTACAGGCGTGAGCTACCGCGTCCAGCCTAATTTTTGTATTTTTTTTTTTTTTTTTTTTTTTTTGAGACGGAGTCTTGCTCTGTAGCCCGGGCTGGACTGCAGTGGCCGGATCTCAGCGCACTGCAAGCTCCGCCTCCCGGGTTTACGCCATTCTCCTGCCTCAGCCTCCCGAGTAGCTGGGACTACAGGCGCCCGCCACCTCGCCCGGCTAGTTTTTTGTATTTTTAGTAGAGACGGGGTTTCACCGTGTTAGCCAGGATGGTCTCGATCTCCTGACCTCGTGATCCGCCCGTCTCGGCCTCCCAAAGTGCTGGGATTACAGGCTTGAGCCACCGCGCCCGGCCAATTTTTGTATTTTTAATAGAGATGGGGGTTTCATCATGTTGACCAGGCTGGTTTCAAACTCCCAACCTTGGGTGATCTGCCCACCTCACTCTCCCAAAGTGCTGGGATTACAGGCATGAGCCACTGTGCCCAGACTGACTCAGGTATTTCTGATGCTACAGCCCCCAACTCTTAAGCACCCCCTGGGAAGGCTGCGGCCAGGTATTTCACAAACCTCAGAGAGCCCAGCACTTACCCACCAGTGCACAGCCTGGCCCAGCCCTGGGTACAGAGGAAGAAGCACTTTTAAAACATTGGATTTCACAGGTTCAGAGAGGGGCAAGGCCCCTCTCAGGGCCACACAGCAAGCCTGTGGCAGAGCCAGGGCGATGGTTCTTAATTTTCAGGGAGTCTTGATTCCCTGTCCCAATAGTAGGAGGGTGTAGGGAGATGTGGAAGGCTAGAGGGATGTGGGGAGCATAGGCGGAGGTTCAAGTTTCCAGACAAAAGTCCAGCCTCAAGCCCACCCCCTGCCCTGTTCCCCCACAGCCCCTCTGTCTGCCATCAGCCAGGAGGGAAGGACAGAGACTGGGAGATGACACAGCAGCCACTAGTAGGCAGTGTCTGATGCCCCAGCATCAGACAGGTAGTGACCCCTCATTCTTCTGTCCCATCCAAGCCCCTCATCTCCTCCTCCATGGAATAAAGGAAACATACAAAGACCTACCCTGGCTGGCCAGAGACTCACGCCCGACACAGGCAACACAGGCATCCACACAGCCACCCACCAGATCACACGTGGGCAGTCACCCACAGCCACATAGAAACAGCTTCACAGACCCACGCCAGCATGTGGAAACACGCACTGTCATATGGTTATCAACACACATGACACACGTCCCTACACACACAAGAAGATGTAGGGTTCAGTTGTACAGCCAAGGACAGGTACAGACCCCCAAAACATACAGACACCCCTAGATCTTTACTAAAGATGCACATATGATCTCACACACTGACACACACACAACACTCAAAGATCAAGAGAGCAATACACACATATACACACATATATATGCACACATATATACACACATATACACATATATACACACATATACACACATATATACACACATACACATATACACACACATACACACACATATACACACATGCACACACATATACACACATGCACGTATACACACATATATACATACATATATGCATACATATATACACACATACACATATACACACACATACACATATACACACATACACACATATATATGCACATATACACACATATATACACACATACACATATACACACATATACACATATATACGCACACATATATACACACATACACATATACACACATATATACACACATATACACACACACATATATACATACACACACACAGACCAACAACCACACATCCTGCAGAGGGACTCATGTAAAGCTCTTCACACAACCCTAGCAAGAGGTAATTCTTCCGAAGAGCTTATATTAACTTATTTAATTCTCACAACGCTCCTGTGAGGTACAAATGATCATTTTTCAGGAAGGGAAACAGAAGCCCAGAGAGGTGAAGTTATTCACCCGGAGTCACACAGCAAGTAAGTAGCAAAGCTGGAATAACACCATGCAGGGTGTCAGGCTTCAAAGTCTGTGCCTTGAACTATTATTATTATTTTGAGATAGGATCTTGCTCTGTCATCCAGGCTAGAGTGCAGTGATGCAATCGTAGTTCACTGTAACCTCGAACTCCTGGCCTCAAGCAATCCTCCTGCCTCAGCCTCCCAAGTAACTAACACTACAGGTGCGTATCACCATGCTTGGCTAATTTTTTTTTTTTTGAGACAGAGTCTCATTTCTTCACCCAGGCTGGAGTGCAATGGCATGATCTTGGCTCACTGCAACCTCCGCCTCCCAGATTCAAGCAATTTTCCTGCCTCAGCCTCCCCAGTAGGTGGGATTACAGGCATGTGCCACCACGTCTGGCTAATTTTTGTATCTTTAGTAGAGAAGGGGTTTCACCCAGTTGGCCAGGCTGGTCTTGAACTCCTGACCTCAAGTGATCCACCCACCTTAACCTCCCAAAGTGCTGGGATTACAGGTGTGAGCCACTGTGCCCAGCCTAATTTTTTATTCAAAAAAATTTTTTTAGAGTCAGGGTCTCACTTTGTTGCCCAGGCTGATCTCAAACTCCCAGCCTCAAGCAATCCTCCCACCTCAGCCTCCCAGAGCGCTGAGATTGCAGGAGCAAGCCACGGCGCCTGGCTTTGAACTTTATTAAATGGGTTTATGTATGTCAATTTATTCACACACAGATGCTCATGTTCATGAAGATACCGGGCATTTCTCCCCACACCATCGCAGACCCAGAAGCTAGGTGGACTGGGCTTATGTTCTGCTTGTATCACCAAGTAGCTTGGTGAACTTGAGCTAGGATATGTGGGGCCTCAGTTTCCCTACCTGACAGAGGAGAACAGGATATAGTACCCACCTCATGAGACTGGCGAGAAGATATCGTAAGGCTCCTGACAGATTGTAGGTGCTTGTTTTGTTACTAAAACAAAGTCTTCCTGACCTTTATACATGTATACCCTCCTGACCCATATCTGTGGGTC